AGATTCAGCCCTTTCTCTTTCCCCTGCTTAGCGTTCATACCCAGCACGAGTGCTCTGGTATGTTCTTTTGTGGGAGAAGCCAAATCTGCAGAGAGAGCCAAAGCACCTTTGCGATAAAATACCAGTCATCTTGTACTGAGCACTCCAGGTACAGTTCTCAGTGCTCACTCACTACAGCCCATGGTATTAATATTGTTATACCCACTTTACAGAGGGCGACATTCGGACACGAATGGTTGAGCTGTCTGCTCAGGATCACAACCGGTAAACAGCAGGGCAAGATTTAAACCCAGACACTGACTCTGAGATCCTTGCTCTAAGTCACTGTGTTTCATTGCTTCTTTGAATGAAGTGGGATCTTAGGGGAACAGAGATGAGAGAGCAGCTTAAGCCAGTCAGAGGTGCTAATGCTGAGCAGACCACCTGTGAGAACTGGGTACAGAGCTCCAGGCCATGCGAGGCACGAGCTAACCCCTACATCCAAGCCAAAACACCGTCCAGCTCCCACTCTGTCCTGGGCCAGAAACTGGGTGCATTCTCTAAGCCACCTCTATGGTCTCCACATTCTCCTCCTAGAAGTGATCCTCCTGACACAGCCTGTGGCACACTTCCCAGGTCCCTGCTTAGTGAAACCCTTCAGGCAGCGCGAGACATTCTTGGGGACCTCTCCCTAGCAAGGAGGATGCCACACGACCTGGTGCACATGGGTGGGATCTAGCCTGAGGCATACGGCGTCAGCGGAGCCCTCGCAGAAGGGCTGGGCTGGGGGCAAGCTGGCCTTGAGGCAAGCAGGCAGGATGGCAGCCCTGCTCCTGCCACTGTCTGCAGTCAACCAGAAAGTCAGGAAATGTGCTCTGCGAGCAGCGAAGCAGATGGCTGGGAATATCATGTGTGTACAATATTTATGAAACGTGAGCTGTGCAGAGCGGTGGCTGAGTCTCCCGTCCCAGGCAGAGCAATTCAGCCCTGTGTGATGAACAAGATTGTAATTGGGGTAGTTCCAATTTACTAACCATTTGCAAAAGATTACATACCTCTCACATATTATCCTCTCCTAATCTTACTTTAATGAACACTACTCTATCTGGATGTATAATTTCAGGGCGGGGGGGAAAACAATTTCTAGCCTAGAAGGCAAAGCTGTAGCTAATACATTAACATCCAAATTAGAGAGAGGGAGAGTAATTGTGAGATCTATAGCTAAAGTAATTTAAAGCCTCCCTCCCTTCCACGCAGTAAAAGACAGATGTACAGTGGAGGCAGCTCTGGTTACAATTGACTTCATGGAGGTGGAGAGGGGGAGGACTTTTCCTCCAAGATGGCAGCCTCACCTGGAGCCGTTTACCTCACCTGAGGAGGGGACTCCGTAGGATGTGTTTCCAGCTGGTCTTCACTGGGGGAAATGGGCCGTGGAGTATTTAGGAAAGAAGCAGGTTGGACTGAAAGAAGACCTTCCAGGGGGTAATGGCTGTTGGTAAGCTTGTCTTCCCTCAACGCAACGCGTAAGCCCAACAGGGATCCTTCGGAGCGAGTTCATCAACCTACCTTCATCTCGTTCTCAAGATCTGTAAAATGGGAGTGGAATGGGATAATTGTGCTGCCTGATTCGTTTCTTTATTCGGTCAATAATTTTTACTGGGGAAGCCAGCAGGTGGCATGGTGGTTTAAGGCACTGAATTCCCACATGGCCAACTGCAATTTGAGTCCCGGACCTGGCAGCTTGCTTTCTTCCTTTTCCTTTTTCTCTCTCTCTGTCTCTCTGTAGTCAAATTAAATAACAACAACAAACAGAATAAATAAATAATGCTAGAAAAAATAAATAAAATATTTTTTACTGGGACCTACAAAATACCCAGCATGCTTCTAAAACTAAAGCCCCTACTCTCGGGAAGAAACTTCCATTTTCACAGGAAAAGAAAAAGCAATAAAAATTCAGTGTTAGGTGACAGGGCAAGGATGGGGCCCTGCATTTCAGGTACTCATGATTGGCTTGCCTCTCTTTAAACTCGAGGGCAACACCAGTTCCCAGCCGTGGACTTGCCGAAATCCCCAGAATTGCTTTTCTGCCTGTGGGTACTGGGAGGCGTGGTCTGTAGGAAGTCAGATGGCTGTTACTTCAGGGAGGCAGCCGCTGGTGCTGGGCTCCAGAGTGAAGGATGCAGACAGTAGAAATCTGGTGAGCTCCCCCAGGGCTCTGCCTGTCCTGGCTGCAGAGGCCCCTCCACCCACACAGGCTGGAAAGGTGGAGAGGCTCCTCATTTGCGAAGTAGAGCAGCTGCAGGGAGAGGCTCTCAGCTCTCAACTGGCTGTGCTTGCTCATTCCCTAGGACCAACCAAGTCCCCGGGAGAGGGACTGGGGCTGAGGAGGGATAAATACAGAACAGCCAAGGTCCCTCTTTTCAGGGCCAGAACCCCTGCCACCTTCCGGGCACATATTACGTGTGCCAGCATGGCTCCCTGGCAACACCCCTGCAGCCTGGGTCAGGACGGAGGACCGAGGCTGCGTTCCCAGACAAGGTGTTGCGACACCCCTCACTCTCCGAATCCCTGACCCAGGAATGGCAGAGAATGGTCATGAACAAGCCCTGGGACCCACCTGTCTGAACCCTTCTCAGTGCCCCTCCCACTCTCAGTGGCGCTGAGGCTTGTTTGTTGGGATGTGGGCGGTAGGTGGGAGCGAGGCACTCTGGCCCTGGATGGGATCTTGTCTACGGCGTCTGCCAGAGTGCACGTGCACGCTCAGCTCTCTCCTGCACTCTGCCCCTTTGCTTACCCTCTGGCCTCCACCTCTCTCTTAAATAAACATAAATAAACACACACACGCACACACACACCTGAGCAGAAAGAAGCAGTCTGTCCAGCCTCCAGGGAGGGCCTTATGAAATTCACAGCCATTAAGCCTTTGTCTGGAGAAAGGAGACGCAGGACTGAAGGCCCGATGCTCTAGCTCCTCCCTGTTCTCCATCCTACACGCTCTCAGGGCACTCGGGACCCCTGAGGACATCCAGTTGCTAGTTTTCCCACCAGCGGGTAGGGGTTGGTGAAAGAATTCTGCTCTCCCCTGCCCACCAGGGCATGATTCTCTCGTCATAGTAAGTGCTATGGACTGAACGTGCATGTTCCCTCCAAACTTCATCTGTTGAAGCCCTAACCCCCAAGGTGACAGTATTTGGAGGTAATCAAGTTTGCTTGAGGTCAAGAGGTCAGGGCACTCAAGATGGGATAGTGCCCTTAGAAGGGAATGAAGGTGGCCACCTGGTGTAGTGGATAAGGCACTGGACTCCCTCGTGGCTGGCCACGGTTCGAGTCCAGGACCTGGTGGTTTAAAGCCCATGATGGGCATGAGTGTGTACATGCCCCAAATCCCGAGAGACTGGAGGAGAAGGGATTGTGGCAAGCCCATCACCATGGGAGGGTGGGGGTGGCCCCCCTGGGGGGTGATTTCTCGCTTTCTGTCTCTCTGTCTCTCTGGCAAGCGCACGTGCCCTATAGCAAAACTCTTTAAAAAAAAAGGGGGGGGGTGTGAAGAAACCAGAGCTCTCGCCTCGCTTTCTGTGCCCTGTAAAGATACAGCACAGAAGCGGCGGGCTGTAAACCAGGAAGAGGCCCCTCACCAAGAACCAGGCTGGTGCTGCACCTTGAGGCTGAGCTTCTCAGTCTCAGAAGTGTGAGAAATAAATGCCTGTTGTTTAAGCCCAGAATGCCCAGTATTCGTTTAAAGCAGCCCAAACAGAACTGTCTATGACAGTAAGTGGCATGGTTGGGCCGAACCACCTTCCAGACACCAGCCCCTGCCTGGTAATTTGACAGGCTCCCTCCCACCCCATCCCTTAACCGCCTGCCCCTCGCTTGA